GTCGAGGAGACCGAGACACGGGTCCGCAGCCGCCCCACCCCTGTGCGGTGGGAAAAGACCTCCCTGACGGGACCGGGATTCTTTCTTTCTCTTTATGTCAGCAGAAAAAAAAATCGACGTCTTTTTTAGGCTTGTGGCTGTGGCTTGATACTTACAGTGCTCTGTAAAAAATTGTTAAAACTAGCAAGTATGAAAGCTTTCACCCCTGCACGTATCTTTCCCTCAGTATCAACCTGGAAGGGAATGTTTGTGCCTTACTTGATATTTTGAGGTCTTTTAGTAATGTCCTAAAAGGAAGTTGACTTTTGCAGGGGCTGCTGATGTTTTTCTTGATGTTGGACAGGTACGTTTTGAACAAGTTGGTGACGGCGTAGTCACGCAAAGAGCTCGCTCAGAGAATTTGCAGCCAACGCTCGGAACGCGGCACGCCCAACGCAGGGCACATGCCGCCTGGCAGAGGCTCTCGGGCCCGTTTCCCCCAGCGCACGGTCCGCCGTGAGCCCCGCCAGCTGCCCGCCAAGGCTGCCCCGCTTCCCCGGGCGCGTTGCTGCGGGAGGCTCCGCTCGGCCTGTGCACGCAGACGTGGAACTGCAGGTGCAGCTGCGTAGCTCTTGCAGAATCAGAAATAGGCTGCGTCTGGTTGACGCTGAGGGGCAGAGCCGCCCCCGTCTCCCTCGGTCTGGGTGTCGGGCCCTGGTCCCAGACCTGACGCCGGAGAGGAGGCTTGCAGACCGCAGGCACAGGTGCTGCCTGGTACTGAGGGCTCTTACGTGCTGAATGAATGATATCAGAGCCTGCTTTAAAACAGGTGTCGTCTGGGAAATGGGAGGGAAGAGCTCCTCCGTGGTCCTTCTAGACACCCATCCCCGTGCTGGGGCTAGCGCTAGCAAGCAGCTAATACGTGATACCCACACTAGCATTTCCCAGAACCTCAGACTTCTCTAATGGCACCTTTCACATTTCCTGCTCCCAGAACTTCTCAATATCCGTTAGACAATGTCCCTGTTAGAAGGTATGTTAGCTAACAGTCACTTGGGAGTTTGTTTTTCCTTCTAAGCTGGAATGATAAATACGTGCTTGGTTTTGCTCATAGCAATCTAAATATAGCCTGGGGAACTTCTAAGGTACAATTTGCATGGAGTCATGACTTTATTTTTAATTTCTGAGTTTAGCAGGCCTTCTCCATGTGTGGGATCATACTATCAGTGCTAAATAAGCCAGAAAGAACAGAGCCAGGTGTGTTCTTAGACCCTAGACTAGTTTTCCTAGGCTGGGCAATTGGTGAAAAAAACCCACCATGATTTTTTCTAGCATAGTTAACCATCTTGACTTAGTCACTGAGAGAAAAATACACAAGGTGGGTGCCAGTTTTAGAGTTTTAGTTTACCCTGTCCCTGTTACATATTTTAAGGAGCGGAAAGAACATGTATTTCCCATTCTCACAGAGTCCTTAGCTAAAGCTTTTTTCCAGCTATCTCTATCTGAGTCTTCCACTTGTAAGGTAGTAATAAATCTCTGTACCTTATTTTTCAAGACAGGGTAAAGGATTGCAAGTTACTCTTTGAACATGTGTTTTCATGCAAGCACTAATTGCCAAGTTTCACTGTCCAAAGGGATGCGAAGGAAATGCATTTGTGTCTGTATATCAGCTAATCTGCTTTTGCTGTATATTCTTTCAGGTTTATGGCCACCAACGACCTGATGATGGAACTGCAGAAAGATTCAATAAAACTAGATGAAGACAGCGAGAAAAAAGTTGTGAAAATGCTTTTGAAACTGCTGGAGGACAAAAATGGGGAAGTACAGAACCTGGCTGTCAAGTGGTAAGAGCCTGGCGGTCGTTACCATGTTCCTGGGCAGTCAGAGAGCTGTTTGCTGGATTGTTGCGTTCAGGAATAGCCTGATACAGAACAGGCTGTGTGAGTTTGCTTTGTGTACCTGCAGTGTTTGTGCAGCCTGCTGTCCGGGTGTGCCAGCTGGAGACAACAGCATGGCTGTTCCGTGCAGCGAGTCTTACTGCAGCTGTGCTGAGTGGGAGAGGGAAAAGGAGACAGAAACACCGTTTTTCTACAAGGACTTTATAAACTGTGTCCAACCATAAACACGGTAGAGTGCTAGCACTGTGTCCTCTCACGCGAGCTCTTCAGAAAATGGAACTCATCACGGCCGATGTTTTGACAGTCCTGCTCAGCTCCCGATGAAGTTGGGGGCTTTTACCACCGACTATCAGGAGCAGAGCCTCTCCTGGGCATAAACTTCACTGAAAGGAGGGTGCGTGGAAAGCCCTACACGTCTCTCCCTCTCTTTTTGTACTCCACAGGCAACTGTAGCCTTTTCTTTTGAGCCGTATGGACACGTAGCACTGATGATAGTCCCCAGGAATCGGTGCCTGTGCTCCAGTATTATTCAGCACAGTAAGCCAAAACCTCTAGTCCCTCTTTTCTGTATAATGTAAAAAAAAAAAAAGAAAACCCAAAACTGCAGATTAGTCCTTTCTTTTACTCCATTTTCTATTTTTGCCTGGCTATGTGAACATCCTACTGAGAGGGGGGAAAAAAAGAACTGAAACCTTCAGGAACTGGTTATTTAAATATATTTTTGCTCTGGAACAGCAGCGTGATGATATTTTTAAAACTCTAGAATCCTCCAGAGAAAAATGGTTGTGCTGCACATGAATCACAGGGAGCTGTTCAGTTCTCCTGAGTTTTTTGAACCAGAAGGAAAAGATCTATATTATTCTGTTCAAATCATTCAGTCTTGACTAGTTCCCCCAAGAAAGGTAACAAGGAAGCAGTGACTAACACTTTGTACTTGGCACAGAAATTGGAGCACAGCCGCGCCACTGCTACAGCAAGTACCTGCTTCTCTGCGGGTGGCACCGACTCAGGAAATGGAAAAGTACCCGTAGCATCCGTCAGGGATCTCTGTTCAGGCCCAAACCCTTCCAGAGTAACTGCTGGATTTGGGTGGGAAGGGTTACCTGGTGGCGTTGGTCTGTTCTTCACCTGGGCAGACAGTTCCGTGGCAGACGAGGGGGGGTTTGTGTTTGCTTCTCATGAACTTTCGAGCAACCAGATTTGCTGTCCATGAAACAGCAGTTTCTTAGTAAAGGCTGCAGAATATTCATGGGAAACAAATGCATTTTGAATTCATTAGGTTAATTCAGAGTTAAGTGCAGCTGGTTAGGGAGGGAAAGCCATAACATGTGACTTGCTGAAATACATTTTGGCTAGTAACCTTGTGAGGACGCAAAAGTAAATAGTTGCAAACAAATGCTGACAAATGCTCTGGGCACAATTTTGAATACAGATTTACCAGCAGGAAACATAGGTTGTTAACAGAAAACTTTTCTAATAATAACAATTTTTAAAAAGTGCAGGGGGAAGGGAAGCATCTTCCCTCTGCTGTAATGCTGGCCCTTGGCTCAAGTAGAGGTTTTCACACAACATGGCAGAGGGCAATAGGTAGCTAATTGCTTGTGAAAATCCGTTTGGCATTTCTTCCTGAAAATCAGTTTTTGATGGTTGGATTGTTTTGTTTTTTTCCGAAACCCGGCTGTAGGTTTTACCATTACTCTCTGTAACGTGGTTGCTTCGGTTCCAATTCACTGTGTCATAATTTCTGAGCTGCTCCTTCCAGTAAGGTCTTATGGGCCTCATGATTGCTGAAATGTCCTCACAAACCTGATCTAAAATCCACTTTAGCCTGATACCGAGTTAACTGAGGCAGCAGTGCAAGGAGCGTAATCCTGGGGACACGACGAGTGCTGCAGGATGTCGGGGTGTTGGTAACATTTGCACTTGGGGCTGAGCTGCCTTTGGGGAGGAGCGAGCCTGAGCATCCCTTTTGCTGGTGGAAAGTGTCCCTCTTCACTCTGACTGGCTTCTCCTCCCGCAGTCTGGGCCCGCTGGTTGGGAAGGTGAAGGAGTACCAGGTGGAAACCATTGTGGACACGCTGTGTACAAACATGTTATCGGACAAGGAGCAGCTGCGGGACATCTCCAGCATTGGGCTGAAAACAGTCATCTCCGAGCTGCCACCAGCTTCCACAGGTAAAACCTCTGTCCCCTTGGTCGGGCTGAGGCCACAGGGAATCGCAGCCTTTGGGAGACAGAGCAAAACGTGTAGTTCGGAGCCAAAAAGTTACAGGTTCTGTGTTCACCTGCTAGAGGACAAGTAGTGAAATAAGGAGAGCCAGTAGAAGCTGAGACAGTGTGATTAAAAACCGGACGAAATGCAAACTTGAGCTGGTCCCCCTGAGGATATTGAGTCTGAAAGTGCAGCTGAGTTCTTGGAGAAACCCGTCCCCGTTGGCGGCCGTGCTCAGGCCTTCGGCGGCCCCCGGCTGTCGCTGCTCGCCAGCGGGGCTGAGGCTGTGCCTGCCCCTGCCCGCAGCCCGCCGCAGCTGCACCCGCAGCTACCGACCCTGAAAGGCGGCGGCTGCTCAGGAGGTGCCCGAGGCGCCTCTGCAGCCATCTCCTGTGTCTGTTCTTCCTTCACGGCAGGTGGCTGTGGCAGCGCTGCCAGGCTGCTGGGTTTTAGGTCGGGAGGAGAACTAGAACTAACAGGCCAGCGCTTGCTGAACTCCCCCCTCAGTTCCTGCAAAACATGAAGCTCTTGCGAGCCACCCTTTCAGAATTCTGACGCCCGTCGCAGGAACTGAAGCTGTTCTAGAGTAGCAACAGATAACTCCTCTCCTTCGGGGCTGGGAGTGGCACTGGGTGGGTGGGAGGCAGCAAAAGCACTGTGGGCTTGATGCAGAACAGAGAGGTTGGACATCTCCCCCAGTGCTCTCTTCACCCTGAGCCCCACTCGTGCGGGAGCTGCCTGGAGAAAAGGGCAGGTTCAGAGAGCAGTGGGAGCAGCAGCGTGTGCCCCGTGCTGACACTTCCAGGGTGTGCTGCTTCTGCTCTCCGGTGCCTCGCGGAGGCTGTGCAGAATGGTGAGGGGAGCAGCTGTCCCTGCCTCGGGGAGCTCTGCGGGACGTGAAGATGTGTGTGCTTTATCTAGATTTATCTAGCTCTACCCTCAAATTTCATCATGGAGCTGAGGAACAGCTTCTGTCAAGACTGCTCTTCTTATCGAGAAAACATTTGCTGAAACTCCACATTTTTCAGTTAAAAATGGGAAAAAACATGCCAGAAACTTTGCAGCCAGCTCTGCTCCCTGCACTGCACGGGCCTGGGGGCTCCCTGTGAGACAGCCAGGGCGTTTTTCTGAGAAGAGCAGCTTCTCTCAGGTAGTTCTGGCATCGTGCCGCAGCGGGGGATCCCTGGGGGCTGCTGGGGGTGTCCACCATCACACACGAGAGCAGACTGACTGCTGTTCTGGTTAGGTCTCCCAGGGGTGATTTTTTTTTTAATGTAGGAGGGCTTGAGTGGTTCTTAGCAGTAAAAAGACTTATTTTTATCTGACAGTGGGGACAAATTTCTCTCTTGCAGGCTCCAGCATGACAGCGAATGTGTGCAAAAAGATCACAGCCCAGCTGACAGGAGCCATTGGCAAGCAGGAGGACGTGTCTGTGCAGCTGGAGGCTCTTGACATCCTGTCAGATATGCTGAGCAGGTACTAAAGGATTTTCTTCTGGCAGCTGTGTGCGGCAGGGGGCTGCCTCTATGTGTTTGCTTGTGATTTCTGTAGTTCCCTAATCCTACTGCGAGGACTTAAAAATAAAGGATTTGGGTTGGCTGCCGCTGGGGGTATCTCAGCAGAGCAGATTCCCCAGCAGGGATACGAGATGACACGCGGAGCCTTTCTGTGCCTGGGAAGAGCAGGGACACTGGTGATGGATCCCACAGGGGCTCAGTTCAAATGCATGGAGGGAGGGAGGGAGAGGGCAAAGCAGGGAAGTTTATTTTCGCCCTGTGATATGATCGCACATGCATTTTTTTTTTCCCCCTGGCTGCCTCTTTCTCTCATTACATAAGTCAGAGTGACAGTGTCACATGTCAACTGCATGTAGGAAATTATTGACAAACCCCCAGGTCATCCAGAAGGACACAGACAAAATCAAACTCCTCCATGATGGAGACAAATAACCTCTCCCTGTGTTTTACAGAACAAGTCGGTGTTCACACCAAAATGCCAATTCCACCCTTTTCCTCTCCCTCCCCACAGCTGCACAAAGGCTTCATAGCTGAAGGATTTATACATTTTCTGCTGGCAAGAGGGCTTTTTCTCTGAGACTTTGACTGTCAACTGCTGCCTTGTTCTGTTGATTGCAGACTAGGGGGAACACTCTACTCCTTCCATTCTTCCATCCTGAGCTGCCTCCTGCCCCAGCTGACGAGCCCCAGGCTGGCAGTGCGTAAAAGGGCCATCATCGCCTTGGGTCATCTTGTCTTGACCTGCAGCGGAAACATCTTCTCAGAGCTCACAGAGCATCTGCTGGCCGAGCTGAAGAGGAATGAGTCTACTTCTACTACCAGGACGTACATTCAGTGTGTCGCTGGCATCAGCAGGCAGGCTGGACACCGCATAGGTAGGATGGGTAGCTAGAAATGGCACCGGGACACGTGCGTGCGTTTTAGAGTGGCTCCTTCAAAGGGTAAAAGAAGTGTGCTCGCCCTGTTCTAATGTGTTAGTGGCTTGTGCTTTGCAATTCTCTCTGTGGTCCTGACCTGGCCCTCTGATCTCCACTCGGAAGGGAGGAGACACCAGAGTAACTCTCTGGCTGCCCTTCGGGGTGATTTCATCTCAACGTCTTGCAGCACTTCCCTGATCTGAATTAACACCTCTGTGAATTAGGTCAGTGGATTCACCCCATTTTAAACAAGAAGAGAAATGGAGGCCAGCATATTGTATTACTTGTCTATAAGATCTGCCAGAGGTGAGATGAGGCCCTAGAAGTTCTCTAATCGCAGCTCTGCCCGTGACTGAAATGCCAACGGGGGGCTGCAGGCGGGGAGCAGGGGCTGGCTGCTGAAGAGCCCGCACGGCTGGCTGTGGGGCTGCTGGCCCCTTGCCCGCGAGGTCCAGGGCAGAGCGCTCCGCCGGGCACACGGGGAAGGTGGCAGATGGCCGAGCTGTTGGCTGCTCCGATGAGCGAAGGCTGCAGTGATTTTTCACTGCTGCTTGCTTTCTCTTTCCCAGGAGAACATCTGGAGAAGATCATTCCTCTCGTCGTTCAGTACTGTCACGTGGAAGATGACGAGCTGCGGGAGTACTGCTTTCAGGCCTTTGAGTCTTTCGTGCGAAGGTGCGTGCCCTTGGGGAACGGCTGCGCTCCGTCCTGGTGTGAAGATCTGCGGTCAGCACCCAGGCTCGGGTGCCTTCCTACCTGCCTCCCTGTTGGGAAAGACACTTCACAAATGAACTCTCTCCTTCACGGAGCTGGGCTTGAGTTATGAGCTATTTTACCTCAACATGCGAGAGTGTGTTTCTGTATTGGTTTTGCAGGAGTGGGAGTTTGCCTTGTCCTTGGAGGATTCCTCGGCAAGAGGGAACTGTCCTGCTCCTGGTGCGTGGAGGGAGTGGGAGGCAGGAAGGGGGCTCAGGCAGAAGAGCTGCTGAGCTGCAGCTCTCCCGGTGTTTGGTCTAATGTCTACCACTTGTCTTGGAAAAAAGGAGCCCTGCAGAGCTGCTGAGGTTTTCTCCCACGAAGGGAGGATTCAGCCAGTTTGTTTGTTTGTTTTGGTTTTTTCCTTATAGAAATCATTACATCCTCCTCAGGGCAATGTGGTCTTGCTTCGTGCACAGCAGGAAGGAGCAGCTCTGGTTTAACTAATGTTAACAAAATGTTCATAAAGTCTGTGAAGCATTTTGGGATCCTGTTGAGATTAGTTACATTATTTGAATATTTAAAATAGCTTAGTCTTTAATTTATTAACTCTCAGAATTTTTATTTGTCGTGATAGGTGCCCAAAGGAAATGGACCCTCACATCCCTAATGTGATGGGGTTATGTTTGAAGTACATCACCTTTGACCCAAACTACAACTATGATAATGAAGAGGAGGAAGAGGAAGAGATGATGGAAACTGAAAATGGGGAGGATGAAGAGCAAGGTGCCTGCTTGTGAGGATGACTGTGCTCAGCCAAACACTGGGTTAACATTTCTCCCCTTCCTGCTTTCTCACCCTCTGCGATGTTACTTTTCAGATCTGCTTCAAGACAGTCAGTTCTTTCAGATGGGTTATTTTAATTTACCAATGGTAATAACAGCTCTGTGCCAAGTTCCAGCAGTAATTCTGAGGTCTAGTTTTACTTTTTTCTGACAAGTTCCTCAGATCTGAATTGTTTTTACTTTGAGGTGGATGTTGAGCCTTGGCCAGATAGGAGCAGAATTTTAATGCCTGTTAACTAAAGAGGACACTTCATACTGTCTGTATGGCTGCATATACTGTGGCAGCTCAGAGCAAAAGTTAGAAAAAGTTCCTTGGAAGAAAGGCATTTCTGTTCACTTTCATACTAGTTGGAGTAAGATCCTGGCTGGCTTCCTGGAGAATGTGTTAAATGTTCTGCCAACAACATAGCAAATTGTCAGCGATTCCTGAATAGCACAAACCAGCCTAAGACAAATATTTATGTATTTCTGGCTTTGAAATCTGGAAACTCATTCTCCCTTCAAAACCAGAGCCTCGCTGCCTGAGCTGAAGTGGCCAGTAAGGGCAGTAACGTTAAGGTTTATTCTCTGTCAGCTCTAACTGGAAGGGAAGAATCTGACCCAGGGCAGCCCTGGGTCACACAGGCGGGTGGTGACACCTGTAGGCACAGGCTATCCCGGACAATTCCCTGCTCCCGGATACGTGTGAGCTACCGGCATCTGCTTGTCTGGTTGGCTGGAGAGGGAAGCTCTGAGGATCGAGTGATCCTGTATCGCTGTTTTTCTCATAATGGCACACCTGGTTTTCCCTTGCCTTCTTTCCAGAAAGCGACGACGAGTACAGCGACGATGATGACATCAGCTGGAAGGTCCGCAGGTCTGCCGCGAAGTGCCTGGAGGCCATCGTCAGCAGCAGGCACGACCTCCTTCAGGACTTCTACAAAACTCTTTCCCCAGTCTTGATAAGCAGATTCAAAGAGAGGGAGGAGAACGTCAAAGCTGACATCTTCAGTGCTTATATCACCTTGCTGAAGCAAACGCAGCCCATCCAGAGCTGGCTGCACGCTGCAGATGCCTCGGGCAGAGATGAGGTGCCTCTGACCATGCTTCAGAACCAGGTGTGTGAGGGGGGGGTGTGATTACATCAGAGGGTGCTGGAGAGGAGTGGGTACCGTGCCACCAACAAGCTGTCCCCATCCGTTCTCTGGGGAAGGGCTGTGCTGCTCCTCACTGTCCCCACCGTTCTCTTGCTGCACCCCCAGTGCTCTGGCTCGGCTCAGCCGGCTGCTTCGGCCACGTAGCTCCGTGCCCTGCAAGCTGCCATGACTGATGGGTTTCTTTCTGGTTTTCTTTTCCACGCTGCAGGTCCCCAACATCATCAAGGCCTTGCACAAGCAGCTGAAAGAAAAGAGCATCAAATCCCGACAGGGTTGTTTCAGCCTCCTGACGGAACTGGCCAACGTCCTTCCCGGCTGCCTGGCAGATCACATCCCTGCGCTCGTCCCGGGTAAACTGCTCCGTGGTCTGGGGGTGTGGGGCGGGCTCAGTCCCTTCCCGACACGTATGCCCCTTGCCTGCCTGTTCCAGTTTCACTCCTCTGTGTTACTCTGCTCAGCACCAGGACACACGCAGCAAGCTCTGCTCTGTGGTGATGTGCTGAACAGCTCCCCCATCCATCCTGGCTTCTGTCTACCACTGAAAGCCTGGATAGGGGTATCGGGTCCCCTGAAGAGGTGCCTTTAGCCTGTTCAGCCTCCTTTGAAACTAGCTGGAACTGTGCTGTTCGCCTGCTGAGACCAGTAACATGAGCAACCTTTTCTTTTGCAAAACACGGTGGCATTTAAACAAATTATTTGTATTGACTGATTATTTAACTTGCACCACCACATTTTTCTCTGAGCTTTCCTGCCCAGAGCTCCTGAAGCACCCTGCTGCTGGAAGGCTTGTAATATCAACGTCTGCCTTTGCTTTGGGGGTGACTGCACAGTTAATATAAAAAAAGTCTCCTGTGATTGTCCCTGGGCTGGATCCATGCACCTCCCTCTTGTGAATTAATAGATTGGAAAAAAACATTCAAACCAAGGGTCGGGCGTGACGTCAGGGGTGGCAAGCAGTATTGTTGTAAATGTTTTTCATTAAGTCTTCTGGGAAACATAAATACATGCCACAGGAATTGGACTTGGAAGAACCTCCCTTCAGCAAAGGCAGTCCATCCTCAATGCCCTCAGTTGTGTTCCAGACAATAGTAACAGAAGTTCTAAAACTAGATAAACATAGAGCCCCTGCTGCTTTTTGGGTTTTTTTGTTTTTTAAAGACTTCTGACAGGAGAATTGAAGGAGAAACTCGTGCAGGAACATTCCTGCAGCCTGGAGTGTCTGTTGTTGGGACTCAGTTTCCCCAGTCTTCATGCCAGTTTGTCATTCTTATTTGCACTTGACTAACCATCCCTTCTCGTCTCAGCCCACGATGACTTTTCAAATTAATTTAAAAAAAAAGGTTTGTAGCCAGCCATCCAGGACTGCTACAGAGACCAGTTATGTCTGAACTGCCGCTTCCTGGAAAGCAGAAAGACAGCAAGGAGGGCAGCTCCTGCCCGTACAGGTCTCCTGGGAGGGGAAAGACAGAAAAGCGATGGCAATTGTGTCCTCCTTTGGGGGGTGTGGGGGTGGGGGTGTGTGATAAAACCCACCCGATGAAATAAGACAGCAGTCATTCTTCTCCCTCCTCCACAGGTATCATTTTCTCCTTGGCCGATAAATCCAGCTCCTCCAACATGAGGATCGATACTCTGTCTTTCCTTCACGTTCTTCTTTGCAACCACCAGCCAGAGGTGTTTCACCCTCATATCAAAAGCCTGTTACCCCCTGTTGTGACCTGTATTGCAGACCCCTTCTATAAGATCACTTCAGAAGCTCTGCTGGTTACTCAGCAACTTGTGAAAGTTCTCAGGCCTTTGGACAAGCCTTGCCCTTTTGATGCCAAGCCCTACGTGAAGGACCTGTTCGCTGCTACCCTGAAGCGACTGAAGGCAGCTGACATCGACCAGGAGGTGAAGGAGCGTGCCATCTCCTGCATGGGGCAAATTATTTACAACCTGGGAGACCATCTAAGCACTGATCTCCAGCCAACCTTGAAGATATTTCTGGAGAGGCTCAAAAACGAAATCACTAGATTGACAACAGTCAAAGCATTAACCTTAATCGCTAGTTCTCCACTTAAAATAGATTTGAGACCCATTCTCGGGGAAGGTTTCCCCATTCTAGCTTCCTTCTTGAGAAAGAATCAACGTGCCTTGAAACTGAGCACTCTGACTGCTCTGGATATCCTGGTGAAGAACTACAGCGACAGCCTCAAGCCTGCCATGATAGAGTCTGTCCTCACAGAGCTCCCCGCTTTGATCACCGAGAACGACATGCACGTTTCCCAGGTGGCCATTGTGTTCCTTACGACTCTGGCCAAGGTTTATCCATCCTGCATCTCTAAGATCAGCAGTTCCGTTCTTGCTGAAACCTTCCAGCTTGTCCACTCGCCATTGCTTCAGGGCGGGGCGCTGAACGCCATCGTAGACTTCTTCCAGGCTCTGGTCCTGACGAGGGCGGCGCCCACGGGTCACTCGGAGCTGATGAAGCAGCTGACTGCGCCCATTTACTCCTCGGGCTCGGCCGGGGCATCGCCGACGCTACACAAACAGGCCTATTACTCTGTGGCGAAGTGTGTGGCAGCCCTGTCCTCAGCCTGCCCGAAGGAAGCCCCCGCCACAGTGAACCAGTTTATCCAGGACGTCAAAAACCCCAAGTCCAGCTCTGCTGTGAAAGTGCTGGCCTTCCTTTCGCTGGCAGAGATGGGGCGCGCCACGAACCTCGGCGCTCAGAGAGAGCTCAAAACCGTCATCCTGGAAGCGTTCACCTCCCCCAGCGAGGAGGTGAAATCCGCCGCTTCCTACGCCTTGGGGAATGTCAGCGTGGGCAACCTGAAGGATTATCTGCCCTTCATGCTGAAAGAGATCGGGAGCCAGCCCAAGAGACAGTACCTCCTGCTGCACTCGCTAAAGGAAGTCATCAGCTCCTCCCCTGCCGACAGCCTCACACTTTACGTGGAGGATATCTGGGCTCTGCTTTTCAAGCACTGCGAGTGCACAGAGGAGGGGACCCGCAACGTGGTGGCCGAGTGCCTGGGGAAGCTGACTCTGGTGGACCCCTCGGAGCTGCTGCCCCGGCTGAAGAAGCAGCTGTCGTCAGGTAACGGGCAGCAGGGAGATGGCGCAGGGGAAAGTCCTCTTGAGAACTGCTGGGGGTGCAGCAGGGACCTGAGCCGGTCTGCAGCAGCGAGGGGGAAAGGGGGGATCTGGGAGGGGGGTCAGAGGGGGCAGGAGGGTGTTGGGAACAGGGACTGCACACGGAGATGGGGCAGGATTTACACCAGGAGGTTATTACCACAAATCCTCTGTTCTCTTACCTCTTCCACACACGCATAACGTGACCAAGGGCAGGATATGTACCACAGAGTTACAGCAGTGATTTTGTCTCTTGATCTTTCACCATTTTTCCCTGCCCCCTTCATCACAGGCTCTCCCCATGCCCGGAGCACGGTGGTAACTGCAGTCAAGTTCACAATTGCAGACCAGCCTCAGCCCATCGATGCTCTCCTGAAGGGCTGCATAGGTAGGCACCGCCGGCTGTTCAGGCGTCAGCAGCAGCTTGGGGGGTTTTCACACCCGTGTAAACCTCACATGATCAGGCACTTTTTATCTGTGTTTTTCTGCTTTTGAGCTTAAAGAGCAACACTGTCATTGAGTCCTCGTTCTGTGCTCTGACGCCTTGCTCCTGGGCACATTCTGTTGGTGACAGGTTTTTAGGGAGCGTACGTTCCTTCTGCGTTTAAACTTATGGTTCAAGCGTTTCACAAGGATCTTGGAAAATACAACCTACGTTAAAAGGGTTTAGGGAGCCCACATCTCAGAGCTGTTGTATAAAAATGGGCTTTCTGTTTCGGAGAAGTCTGAGCAGATGAGATCAGAGCAATAAAAAAACAAAACCCAGTTTCCTCGAATACCAAAGCTTCTGACCCGATTTTAAGATGAGGTAGCTGGAATCAGGGGGTTTGTTTTTACACCCAAATGCAGGGAAGTCATGTTTCTTCCATTCAGTGTATCCCAAATGAAGGGGAGGGAAGGCATCTCCAGTGCCTCTGTTAGACTGTGCCCCTGGAGTTATTTTCCTGTAGGTCTTTCATAACCAGGGTCCTTGTACACCGATACACCCTTAAAATACTTGTAAAACACTGCAGCAGGACTGATGGGTGTGCCCTTATCCCACAGGTGACTTCCTAAAAACTCTTCAGGACCCAGACCTGAATGTTCGGCGTGTGGCTTTAGCCATGTTTAATTCTGCTGCTCACAACAAACCTTCCTTAATCCGAGATTTACTAAGCACAGTTCTCCCCAGCCTGTATAACGAGACGAAGGTCAGGAGGGAGCTCATCCGGGAGGTACGTGCTGGCTCCGCTGGGGCACCTGTGAGGCCGAGGTGGAGACTCTGCTGTGGGCTCACAGCTGCGCTGCTTCGCGTCTTTAAGGTGGAAATGGGGCCGTTCAAGCACACGGTGGATGACGGCCTTGATGTGAGGAAAGCTGCCTTTGAGTGCATGTACACGCTGCTGGAAAGCTGCCTCGACCGGCTGGATATCTACGAGTACCTGAACCACGTGGAGGACGGGCTGAAGGATCACTACGACATCCGGGTAGGTGCTGGGGGTGGTGGGGCACTGGCGAGTCGCTCTCCAGGGCTGGAATCGAGCTGGCGTGGCACCAGCTGCGCCGTGTGTGGCTGCTGCAGCCTCCCGACACCAGCCAGCTCTGGTTTGACCGCGGCAGCCTTGAAAACACAACCCTGGCACAGCTGCTCTTAGAGATTTACCAAAGCCTAAAACAAGTTCCACCTGCATTTAAACTTATGGTTGTCGCTTGCCCTGCGTGGCTGGTGACATGTGTGTTAGAAAAAAAGGTGCCATTGTCATTGTTGATGGCCTCAGGAATTTACAGGAGGCGCTACCCCCCTTCCATGGCATTACTGATGTACCGGCACGGCCCCTGTGCTGAGCGCTGCCGTCGCCCCCAGCCCTTCCCGGGGCCCAGCCGGGCCAGGCCTGGCCGCTGCCTCTGGCAGGAGCGTTTCTGCTGTGTCCGGGGCTTCTGCTAAATCCCTCAACGTGTGCAAAGGAACCCGGCACTGCGCGGGTACGGCACGACACGGCAGCGAGGGGCTGCGGCCGCACTCCAGGCGGGTGCTGGAGCCAGGCCGCCTTCTGCCTCCTCCCCAGATGCTGACGTTCATCATGCTGGCCCGGCTCTCCTCGCTCTGTCCCAGCGCCGTGCTGCAGCGCCTCGAGAGACTGATCGAGCCGCTCCGGGCAACTTGTTCCACCAAGGTAAGGTCGGGCAGAGCGCGGCGGCCACAGAGCCACGGCGACTCCCAGACCGCTGGTCCCCGCTGGCCTGTCCCTCCCTCTGCCCGCGCCACCTCCTCTGAACACCAGCTGAAGGCAGGGCCTGGGCTTCGCAGGTGAAAGCTGGTTCCGTGAAGCAGGAGTTTGAGAAGCAGGACGAACTGAAGCGCTCGGCCATGAGAGCGGTCGCTGCTCTCCTGACCATCCCCGAGGTGGAGAAGAGCCCAGCCATGGCCGAGTTCTCATCCCAGATCAGATCCAACCCTGAAATGGCATCGCTTTTTGAGAGCATTCAGAAAGATTCAGCTTCCCTCCCCACCTCAGAGTCGATGGACATGAGCTGAGGGAGATCTGCCCCTTGCCTCGACCCCGGGCAGGCCAGGACAGCGTCACCCAGCCAGACCCTCGGCGGCCACTCGTGAGTCCCCAGCGGCGGGAGGGGCCGGTCCCGCTGCACCCCCCAGCACCTCCAGCCTGCCGGGACGCGGGAGGAGGGACCTTGTGCTGGGAAGGGGGGGAAACACGTATTCTCGGTTTTCAGCAAGTTTTTAAGGGGCATATAAAGCAATCGAGTGTGGTTCCATGAAAAATGGGAACTACTTCCTCAAGTATTTCCTTACTGCAGTACAAAAAAAGTCTAAAATGTTTTGGTTTTTTAACTGCTGCACATGCACTTTCTACCCCAAATTGCCCAAAGAATGTATTTATTTTGTTTTACTGAATAACGTGGCTAAAAGCAAGAAAATCCACAGCTTTGATGAGTGAGGAGCATCACAACCGTAGGCGCCAAGGAGATGGGCACGGGCCAGGCTGTGGGAGCTGCTCGGGGCCACTCGTTACCCCGACTCCCCCCTGCCCGTCCCGCCCCGACACCGAGTGTTCCTGCAGTGGTCGGGCCCTACGCAGCCACCCTGCTTGATTGCCATTTATTCCAGTTTTTGACTGAAATACCTCAAGCAGCCGTCTTCCAAGAGAGGATCACCTGATCGTGCTACCGTAACCAAACCCACACTGGGCTTTTTCCTGCACGTTTAACACCGGCCTCCCTCTGCCCGCGGGAGCTGGGGCTCGGCCCTGAGCATCGCAGGAGTGAGGGGGAAGGCAGCAGAGAGCCCCCACTCACCCTCCTGGTATTGGAAGTGACGCTGTAGTGGCTGTTGTGCTCAGATCCTGCTTTGCCCAGGGGGAAAAAATGCCTCAAGAGACAGAGAGGGTGTCGAAGCAGATCAGAGAACAAGGCCCCCATGACGCGCTTGTAGCCGTGGAGCGGGAATAGGCTTTTGCTTCTCCTTTTTTGACTGAGTTGGTTGATGTGACAAGTATTTATAGTGCTGTGTGAAAGAGCATCCTTTGTTTGAGTGGTATAAAAATAAAAACATACCCATGAAGCCGCGTGCGCTCCTGAATTCATCAGCGAGTTGCTACCAGGAGCGAGCGCCCCGCTCGAGGCCCCCCGCGCCCCACAGACCCTGTCCCGGCACACATCACCCCGCTTTGGTTTTTACACTTTATTAAATACGTCGGGGCCACAGAAGCGGGTTTACTCGTTCTCCTCGCTGCGCAGCCTGGCGTTGGGGTTGGTGATCTTGATGGCGAGCTGAGCCGCTCTCTCCACGATCACCTTCCGGTTCTTGGAGGAGACGTTGTGCGCGATCTCAGCGCAGTAGGACCTGCCAGGAGGCGAGACAGCGCGTCAGGCCGAGGCCCAGAGCAGCTCGACCCTTCTGCTTCCCTTCTTACAGACCCTCACTAAGAGCTGGTTTTTCATTATTGTAATGGTTACTCATTAGTTTTGGAAGAAAGCACTGCCTGTCAACGTGGGCCAGTCTGCACAGACCCGCAGGTCTGACCCAGGCTGTGGGTGCAGTGCTGTTCACTGCCGCTGGAACGTTCTTTTTTTGCCAAAAGTACAACTTTGCCAGCCCCAAGCTGCCGTCTGCACCCTCCCACCAGCAGCGAGCAGCACTGAGGAAGCCGATTAAGCAACAACCCCCCCATCTCCCCCCAGGGCGCAGCCTCCCCTGCCCCGCAGACTTACTTGTTGCTCATCATCAGCACCTCCAGCTCCTTGACGTTGTGGACCAAGAACTTCCTGAAGCCCGTGGGCAGCATGTGCTTCGTCTTCTTATTGCTGCCGTAGCCGATATTGGGCATCAGGATCTGACCCTTGAACCGCCGGCGAACTCTGTTGTCGATACCTCTGGGTTTGCGCCAGTTGCGCTGAAGAAACGCAGGAGATGTCAAAGAGTTAGAAAAGGAAACTGGTCTGGAAACACCCACCCCAGGGCCAGGGCTGGAGCCGAAGCCAGTCCCCAGAGATTCAGCGCAAAGCCCGGCTCCGCGCTGGCCCTCTGTGCTTCAGTTCACCACCAACGCCAGCCCTGTCCGACTGCCCCGGACTCCCTTTCCAATGAAATCCCAGCGAGGTTTTTTACCTTGATCTTGACATAGCGATCGGACTGGTGGCGGATGAACTTCTTGGTCCTCTTCTTGACGATTTTGGGCTTCACGAGCGGTCTGAGGGCCGGCATGGTGTCTGCGGGAGAGGGAGCGGGGTGAGCCGGGGCCGGGCGGCGGCGGCGGGCAGCGCCTGTAGCAGAGTCTCTTCCGCTCAGGGGCCACTGTGCGGCCGGCGAGGGAATGGGTGCTGCTCTGCAGCCGCTCTACCTCCCGCTTCCGAAGCTGGCAGAGCACCGGCAGCTCTCCAGATGCGATCCTGGGAGGCCCCTCCCGCCCCGCACACCGCAGAGGTGCGGAGCGACCGCGACTCACCGGCCGCAGCCCCCCGCAGCTGCGGAACCCTCGGGTCCCCCCTTCCCGCCCCGGCCCTGCTCCCGCT